TACTTCTCCGCGCTGCTCCACCGCCGCTGCTCCTCCGCAATCCGCCCTAAATCGCCTCAATCCAAACTATCCCCCAAATCGTCCGCTCCGCAAAAAATCATCCCCTCATCTCATTGCTGCTGCGTAACTTGCTTTCTTTGCTATAATTTTATTCCCTTTTGTTGTAATTTTTGAATTCTTGTTTGTTTGATTTCTTTAGGCCACTTTATGTTCTGCTATAGTTTTTCAAGAAGTAGCTTTTTTAGTGGTTCTTTTTTATGTTACACCTGAAATTGATGTGCTTTAATTTGTCTCATTATATTGTTTCTGCAATAAAAACTAAAAAGCTCCTTATCTATTTGCAGTAGCAGTAAGTTATTTCTTGTGAGTGTATGCTAAATCTCTACTCCATCTGTTCGGAAGGGTTTGTGGAATAAACTATATATGATAATTGATCAGAACTATTTAATGTTAGATTTTGAGTTCTTGGTATAATTTGGATTTGCTGATTGGATTATTTTCACTCTTTTCATTATTTTCAGTCATAGTACTGAGTATTTTTACATCAAGCTCTGTTTTATGATGCATTAATTTGTGCTCCATATACATCGTGTTGACTGAAAAATTGTTTTTGTAAAAATTCGGTTAACCGACCGAACAGACCGAACATTTCGGTTCGGTTATATTTCGGTTTTAAAGAATTATTTCGGTCGGTTCGGTTTTTGAAATTTAAGAATTCGGTTAATTCGGTTTTTGTAGTTCGGTTCGGTCAGTCCGATGAACACCCCTACCCACAACCAAATCTCAACCAAGACCCTTCTCACTCTCTTCCTCTCTCTAAAAAGTAAAAACGTACTACTAAAAAGAGAGCTCCACTTCCTATCTCTCTCTAAAAACTATCTTTATTTTTATTTTTTCTTTCAAAAAAACATATACATACATCGATACGTACACAAATATAACAAAAGCACACGTAGCCCCAAATTCATCTGAATTTGATTTCCTTTTACTCGATTTTGGAATCCCTAATCTAGCAGAAAGTTCAGTTTTTTTCTGTACTCAAATCGGCAAACCAATTTCCTTATTTAATTCCCTTTGTCTACCCAATCTTCTTTCTTTCCGCAATTTCTTGATTTGAGTCCGCCTGCGAAAAACCCTAGCTTTTGTTGTTCATTTGAAACCCTAGGTTTGAAAATCTTGAACCTCCCCGAAACTTCGCAATCTGAACTCATTGTCTGTTACGATTCGGTTAATTTTGTAGGGTTCCTAATCTTGATTGATCAGGTATTTTTTTTTTTCAATTGTTGCACTGTTGGGGATGGCCAGAATCTCTTCCACTGATTGTTTGTTTTAATTTTATATGGTGAAAGTCGAAACAATTGGTGGGCTTTTCTGCATTTCTGCTAAGTTTAGATGGGAGTTGGTTAAGTGGAAAAGTTAATGGTGCCCGTGCTTTTTGTTTGATTAGGCGTTTTAAGTAACTGCAGGAAAGTTGTTGAACTTTTGATGGTGTGTTAGAGTGAATCTTGAGTTTTTGTGTTTTAGGATTTTGTCGTTTGAGAAATTCGGATGATCGTGTGTGCCATTTAAAGTAACCAACGTTCCTGGTTTCTTTGACAGCCGGTGAATGTTAATAGAATTGCATGCATTGGATTTATGTGATCCGATCACGTATAAATATGCTCGTGCCTGTCGGCTAGCGAAATGAATTATTTTCTTTTTAAGATATTTAAGTTCAAACTGGGCTGGACAGTAATAAATTGAATTTGTAAAGAGAAAGAATTGTCAGGTTCGATATCGTGTCCATCCAATCAATTTCAAAGCCCTAGGTGGAACTTTACAATGGGGCCTATACTGTAAACAAAATTCAATGTGAACCATTGTAAAATTTTTTGAAACCATTAACATTTCATTTTAAATTTGTTTTTTCTAGCATTTTGGATGAAACATCACTAACTACACTTTTCGCATAAACTTCTTCTAACCTATCTTGTTTGATTTGACAATAGTACAATTCTCTAATCCGTTCATTATATCTCCCCACATAGGTGACCGATGGTAACTTTTTACTTATTTCATACGTGTAAAGTATAGTGAAATTAATTTGTATGCTATCAACACATTCTATATGCTAAAAAATGTCGTGAAAACTAAGCCATAAAATCTTGAACCTTCAAATATTTGGGCCTCCCTAAGGCATTACTTATAGCGCTTATGGGCCACTTATTGTTATCATTTGCATGAAATTCTTGCACATAATTGCAGAAATATTATTATTTTTGATCATGTAATTTAGCTGTAAATTTCCAATGTCTGCTTCTCATTCATTTGCCCTGCCCTTTACTCTTTCAACGGTCATTGATAACTATTGAATGGGTTGCAGCAATTATCTGAAGAAGCTGCTGTCACAGGTTGGGCGAGCATATATTTTGCCGCATCTTGATGATGGTGGCTGCATGCAGATGATTGTTGGAAGAGATGCAAAGGTATCATGGTGCGAGCTGCACTAGTGCAGTCAATAATGGTGCGTTTGGGGGGATTCAAGCAAGGGATACTTCTCGTGCTGAATCACCTGTTGTGCCACCTAACTTTTCACTGAATCCAAGGTATTTACTGTTTTGTTATTGTTAATAATATCATATGCCAAAAATCTTCCATGTATGTGGGGGTGCAATAGTGGATTCGTCTGAGTGGGCTGTGAGGCTGATTTGACCTGGTTCAACATTATATAGCTGTTTATAATTGCTTAGAAATACAACTTTCAGGCACCACTAAATATATATGCAGACTTGAATAGATGAGAACTTGAAGTGGTCCAGTGATGTATATAATAGTAGGCTCATAAGATAGTTGGGCGTTGGTACAGCGTACCTGGGCCTTGGTTAGAGCCCATCATTAATGAATTAAATTGTGGGCCCATAAAGCCACTGCCCGTTCAAAACGCCCTCGCGTGCCACTCTCGGAAGACCCGCGGCCATGTTACTTCGCCGGAAAATTCATTCCCTCCCCCGCACCATCGCTCCAAATGCGCCGATCCTCCGGCCAATCATCACCGTATCCACCGCAAACCGCCACGATCGCCCTCCTTGCACAAACTCCGAACTGCAGCTCCTCAAGCCCCACAACCCCACGCCCCCAATCAAACCCTGGCCGCAGAAACTAACCCCCAAGCGCCTCTGCTCCATCATCACCCACCAGCAAAACCTAGACCTCGCCCTCCAGATTTTCCACTACGCCGGCGACCACCACCCCGGCTTCCGCCACACATACGACACCTACCACGCCATCGTCCACAAGCTCTCCCGCTTGCGCGCCTTCGAGCCAGTGACCCCCCTACTGAACGAGATCCGCAGTTCAGGGATCAAATGCGGCGAGAATATGTTCATCACCCTCATCCGAAACTACGGCGTCGCCGGCCGGCCGAAGGAGGCGATCGGAATATTCCTTCGGATCAACGATTTTGGAGTCCAAAGGTCCGTCCGGTCGCTAAACACCCTACTCAACGCCCTGGTCCAGAACAGAAAGTACGATTCCGTACACTTCGTGTTCAGTAACAGCCGGCAGAAGTTCGGTATTGTCCCCAACGTCTTCACCTGCAACATCCTGCTCAAAGCTCTATGCAAAAAGGGCGACATGGAGAGTGCCGTCAAGGTGTTAGACGAAATGCCCGGAATGGGACTCGTCCCAAACGTGGTCAGCTACACCACAATTATGGGTGGGTATGTCGACAAGCTTGACATGGCAGGCGCCAGGCGGGCGTTCAACGAGCTTCTCGACCGCGGCTGGCTGCCGGACGCAACCTCTTACACAGTCCTCATGGATGGGTTCTGCAAGCTCGGCCGATTTACAGATGCATCAAAAGTGATGGATGAGATGGAAGAGAATGGGGTCTACCCGAATGATGTCACGTACGGCGTCATGATTGAGGCCCTGTGCAGGGAGAAAAAATCCGGTGAGGCAGCGGGCATGATAAGTGACATGCTCGACAAAAATTACGTCCCGGGCCCAGCCCTGTGCTGCCGAGTCATAGACTTGCTGTGCCGGGAGGGAAAGACGGATGAGGCATGCCAGCTGTGGAAGCTGCTGTTGTTGAAAAACTGCACGCCGGATAATGCAATCTCGAGCACGCTCATACACTGGTTGTGCAGGGAAGGGCGCGTTTGGGAGGCGAGGAAGCTGTTTGACGAATTCGAGAAGGGCTCGATTCCTAGTGTGTTGACATACAATGTGTTGATTGAAGGGATGTGCGAGAAGGGTGAGTTGGGTGAGGCCGGGAGGCTGTGGGACGACATGGTGGGGAGGGGCTGCCGGCCGAATGCGTTCACTTACAATGTGCTTATCAGAGGATTTTGCAGGGCGGGTTATGCAAAGGAAGGGGTTAGGGTGTTGGAGGAGATGGTGGGTGGAGATTGTTTCCCGGACGAGCGGACTTGTGGTGTCTTGATCGAGGGGATTTGTGGGTCCTGGTGTGAAGGGGGTTTGTTGGATGTGGTGCTTCGCACGGCCGTTTTAGGTGAGGTGAGGATAAAGTCGGAATCTTGGAGGATTTTGGTGGAGAAGTTTGTGAGGGTCGGTGGCCGTGCGGCTTTGGAGAGTGTTTTGGGGGCAGATGCTATTTAGGTGTTTGCTTGTTGGGTTGAGGTTGAGAATTGAGACGAATGCAACATGGAGGGCGTGAGGTGAGTCTTAAGAGGAGGAAAAGGTTGCAAATTCGGCTGATGATATAAAAGCAATTTTTTTTTACAATGAATGATGTAGTGGTGGCAAGATGTTGCAGCGGCTTGCAGATTGGATTTTTTTTTTTCTCTTCTTCCTTTTGTTTCGGTAGTGTACAGTGTGTTGTAAATCAGACTGAATTTCCGGTCTATCATCTTGGATATTCAGTGTAGGTATTTTCATTAGAATTTGGAAATGAGTTTCATACAATTATTGTTTGATATTGGTTTGCAATGAATTGCCATTGGATGCAAACTATTGGGATTTTTCCATCATGGAATAAAGAGTATTGTGCGCTCTCACGAATGCGTGGATGGCCGAAACTGCAAAGTAACATGGTGAAGTGTAAAAATATGATTTTATGTTTGATAGGATTGTATATAGGGTTTTCTTTCATTTATTTTGAGGATAAGCATGATGCTGTAGATGCTATCCTTGGTTTTGACGACATACCTTTTAGGCATGACAGGCGCAGGTTATCAGTTGAATTGGCCAGAGTATGTTTTCTCCAGAGTTTGTCCTTTCTTAGCCTCATCTCGCTCTTGTTCACGCTTTCTTGAATTTTAACTTGAATCTCTGGGGCGTTATTTAGTTCTTAATTATTGACAGTTTTTTCATGGTTTTTTTATCTCAGTAGAGCGAACATGGGTGGCATCATGATGGGAGGGCAGCAAACCAGAGGCCAACAAGGACTCTCTTTGTGATAAAGTTCGACCTCATTCATACCAGAGAATATGATGTAGAAAGACCCTTTGGGAAGGTGTTCTCAACGTGTGCATTCATCTGAATTTCGTATTCGTGCAATTTTAAACTTTGGAGAATGCCACAAAAGCTCTAGAGTACACCCGTATGAGGTAGTGTACTCTATGCCTGCTAGTTCTTTCACCTTTTTGCTCTGGATAGGTTTAATGCAGTAGAAAGATGCAGGATAGGGTTGTCTCTATATGCCTGGAGTATGTGCATTGAAGTTAGAAGTACTTACTGTGAGATACTTTGTTTAGGGTGTATTTGCGACTTGATGTTATTTACGTGCTTGTTCCTCTGTACAATGTACAGTAGGTCTCAATAGCTTGAATGGCTATAAATAAGTTATAGGCTGGAGCAGAAGTTTTCTCTCGTAATGTCTTTGGATTTTGGTTGTATGTTGAATTTATAGTTGTAGGTAGTGTATTGTAATGACTGTCTTCTGCCGGGCATGATAAGTCAGAAGACAGTCATTACAATACACTATCTACAACTATAAATTCAACATACAACCAAAATCCAAAGACATTACAAGTCAGAAGACAGTCATTACAATACACTATCTACAACTATAAATTCAACATACAACCAAAATCCAAAGACATTACGAAAAAAAACTTCTGCTCCATTACGAGAAAAAACTTCCGCTGCCGGGCACAAGTCTATGACTCGGCAGCACAGGGCTGGGCCCGGGACGTATTTTTTGTCGAGCATGTCACTTATCATGCCCGCCGCCTCACCGGATGTTTTCTTCCTGCACAAGGCCTCAATCATGACGCCGTACGTGACATCGTTCGGGTGGACCCCATTCCATTAGATTTGGTTTTTCTTTTGTTTCCATGAAATTAATAAAAAAGAAAATGTAGCTTTTTTTGTTTTTTTATATGTTTAGAGCAGCTATATTTTAAAGTTTGTGTAAAATGGTTGATACTTGTTGTTTGTATATTGTCCTTTGATAGTTTCTTTTTTCTTTTCCTTTATTTTATTTTTTTTTGTGATACAGGTTGAAGTATGTTATTTTATTAATAATCAAATATGTTATTATTTAGTAATTAGATGATATGTAGGGTTTTCAGTATTTGCTATAGAATGTAACCCTTTAGATCTGACTAGCAAAGAAAAAATTCCTAAATCCCCAAAACCAAACCATCGTCTCTGCCATCGCCCCCTCTCTTCCAGCGGTTGACCGCTTCGACCACCAGGCCGGCTTCGGCCGAGGCACGGCGGGGGTGCTCTTCTCCGCCTCGATCGGAGCTTGTGGGAATTTGGCCGCCGGTGGTTCTCATCGGTCAGCCTCTCTCCGAATCCGGGAGAGGTCGTCGGCCGCCTTGTCCCGCCCCACCGTGGAAGTCAGCCGCGCCGCAGGATGCTCGTCGGTAAGTGTGCTTCTTCGTTCACTTCTTGGAGGTTGTCGTGTCTGTTTGACCGCGCCGCCGCTGATGAGCCCAGTCCGGTTAGGCCGCCGGGCTGACGTACTATATTGCTTGAAGCCTTAGACGGTGCCTCCTCTCCCTTTCTTCCTCCCGGCACCGACGTCTAATGGAGTCCAGATCTGGTCCGATAATCTGACTAGGCGGTTGAGTGACCGCAGTTTTTGGGTTTGAAGTCTAGCCTTGTTGCTCCGTCGGATCTATTCGTTGTGGTTTGGGTCTCGGTTGTCAGTTTAGGTGGTTTGTGTGGTTCTTCTGCTAGGATGAGGGGAGGTTTTACTCTATTTGTGTATTAGGTGTGTTTTTTTCCTATGTTTTTAGCTTTGGTTTGTTTAGTTAAGTCCAGCAGTGTCTGGGTTTTAGTTTCCTTCATGGTGTTGGTGTTCCTTGACGGAGGTTGTACCCCTCGGACACCGCTCCGAGGGGGTAGGTCCAGGTTTTCTGGTTCCTTTGGTGTTAGTTAAAACCCCCAGTTGTACTCTTTTGAGTATTTCAGTTTTTAATATAATTGTCGTTTTGGAAAAAAAAAAAAAAANGAAAGATCTGACTAGCCACTTGAGTAAGCTGCAGTTTTTAGTTATGGGGCTTAGATCTACAACTCTCTTTTGTTATTGATTGTGGAGTTTGGCTCGTTGCGGGTTAGAGTGGTTGTGGCGGTGTACTAGCGAGATGGAGGTAATGTAGTATTATATTGTTAGTTTAAGTGTGTATTGTTATGTTGTTTTTGTTGTGTGTTTGAGTTTGTGGGTATATATTCTCCATTGCTGGAGCTTTTAGTCTTCACCTGTAGGAGTTTTAGTTTGGGTGTGCAGCTCTAAGATAGCTGGGAGCAATAGTACTCCGTTGGGATAATCTTCCGCTAGTTTCAGTTTAGTAGTTGATTCTGTTGTTTGGTTGTCCTAGTCTGTAAATATTTGTATTTATTAATTATAACCTAATATAGATCACGGAAAAGATTCGTGATTTAAATTGTCACGAGAGATTTTCATTGGTTGAGAGCATCTCTAATGGTTTTTCATTGCTTTATTTTGTTGCCACATGACACAAATAATCTTATATAACATGAAATGTCTAAAAGCCTTTATAGATGTAGAAGTCATTTCAAACAACATCTATTATATATTATATTATTTATTCAATTTATCTCTCTTCTCCAACTAATTACAATTTTACACATGATACCACAACTAACATTATCTGCTGGAGACACACTTTTTAAATTTCCTTTTTATGCCATACAACACAAAATGGATAATGTTTCATTCGAGATGGAATACTTCAAACAAATGAAATGAGCATTTGTTGAACTTGGCTCGGACTTGTTTGGTAAATAAATTAGTTGAGCTCGAGCTCGTTTAGTTTAAAAGTTCAACAGAGTTCCGCTCGTTAAAGCTCAAAAATAGTAATTTTTATGTAATTTTATACAACTCGGTTCATTAATCTTGAAAAAAGACCTGAACTCGAGCTCTTTTTTCGACTCGTTTTGTCTACGAGCCCGAACTCGAGTATTAGGAGCTCGTGTTGCAGTCATCAATAGTTTCTAAAGTGGGCTTATTGGACCTGTGATCTACTAGCCCATTTCAATAACCACTCATAAAGAGCCCAGATCTAATCCCAAGCCCAGCTCTGGTGACTCCAAATCCATCCCGGCCCAGAACCAACTTTAGAACTCCCTTCAACGGTTCAACCATAACAAGAAAAATAGTAATATTATTTTACATCAATTTAATTTTAATCATTTCATTTTAAATATTATTTTATTATATCCACTAACAACTAATCATACCAACTTTTTCAAATTTAACCAACCCAAACCAAAAATCCAATCAAAATAAAATATTTTTATATCCAATCATGTTGTCATTAGTTTTCATATGGGGAAGTGGGAAAATCTTGGACGTATTTGATTTATTGTATTCTCAAATCATTGATTGTACTAAAAATTATTATATTATTTAATATGGAATGTTGCAGATTTTAATTGTAATGGACATGATGATATATATTAAGGGAAGATTTTTATCTATATTAAAATTAGTAGCCAAATATGTTTCTATAATAAATTAAAATTATCTTAAAATAAATAAAAAAAATTGAAATTCGAAATTAAAGCTTTATTGGGGGAGTTTTCAAAAAAACTACCAAGATTAGTAACTTTAAAAATTTTAGGCGGAATTTTAGTTGTTATTTCAGGTAAATGCCAAACTTTTTTATATTATTATAGATCAGGTTGCCCTCTGGATTAGTAATCGATGTCCACATGCCTGTATTCACATGGGCTTACTCCCCATAAAAAATCAATTACACAAACAGTGTGCTCATAATTCACATAACCCGTCGATATTACCTGAACAATCAACCAATATATGTTGAACCAAAAGTACGGTGTGCACATTTGAAGATCTACAGTAACTCGGTTAGCTGAAACTCATAAAGTAGGCAAAATTCAACACATGAAAAACCGAACCATGCGAGAAAACAAAACGTGATAGTAAAAAAAAAAAAAAGAAAGAATTGACCTAGAAATCATCTGCCATGGTTTCGTACCTTGAGCGTGCAAATTTTGCAGGTGGGTAGAGGCTCACGTAGAGCAAACTATTGTGTGTCTAACACCGCTCAAGAGGCTATCGACGGTGACCCTCTTGAGTACGTTCATATGCACATCATCCACCACCATATTTCCACAAAAGAAGTCGTGCAAGAACAAAGGAAGTCGTGCAAGACCATTCAAGGACGTGTGCCGATCAAGTTAGCAACGCACATAATCTGATACAAAAAATAAATAAATAAATAAATTAACAACCTATTACCTATTTATAACCAAAGAGAAGGTTCTCATTGAATTTGTTTCAAAGCTCGTAATCACGAGAAACCCAGCCCAGAATTAAGGAAAAAAAAAAGGCAAATCTCACCGGTGCTGGTATGTGAGCCGCCACCGTTGTTGTTACTATGAAGAGAAAAAGAAAAGAATCGAACTACCTCATACATAAGATTGTGGCTAGTTCAACGACTTTGATAGGGAAATCCCTTGTTGTCGTTTCAGATGCGATTTGAAAAGCCTTTTGAGAAAGTGTAGAGGAAGATGCAAATAGAGATGCCAACTTTCCTCTCCTTGATGTCCAGTGACGCCGCACCACTGATCGCATCCCATAGATCGGGGTTCACCGCTGCCCGATGGTCCTGCCCACACACCGTCCTCCATCGTTGCTTTAATCATCTATGTCGCCATTAACCTATCTTCTCCAACCGACCCGTGTAGCCACGCCGCCGCTCTAGTTATATCTGTGTAATCGTGGGGGTGCTCTGTGTAAGAAAAAAGAGAGAAATTGGATTTCTGAGTTGTAACGTGGGGTAGTGTGTGAGATTGGGGAGCACAGTACACTCTTTCTTCAATCTCCTTATGTCGGTCCATGTTGCGTGTACGGGATATCCTTCTGTCGGTCCATGTTGCGTGTCCGAGAAAACTGGTAAAGTTATTGTCATGTCACAACTAATAAAAAAGTCAACAATCAACACTAAATTTAACATAAATGAAAGCAATTAATATAAAAAAATGATAAATAGCAACAAGGTTTGGAAAAATAACCTCCGTTGTTGGAGAAGCAACTTCCTGGGTGGATAACCAGAGTGAGATTGAGGAGGCCGACGTTGTAGCCGCGCTTCAAGGGACTAACGTATTCTTTAAGGGCTCCCACTCGTTGCCGGTCTTGGTTATCCGTCAGAAACTCCATCTCTGGGTCCATTAACGTATCAATCGGCGGGTAATCCATCATTTTCCCTGTGATGAATGAAGAAAATTGGGAGTGAGTAAAAATTGATTTTGAGATAGAGTTTTACTGAAGAGAGAGATAATGATTGAGGGGTAATGGGTTGTGTAGTCGGGAAAAGGGCACGTGAGATGGATTTTTTTTGTTTACTCAATCTGTCTCTCTTTTCTGCTTGCTTTATTTTTTCTCTTTCTTTCTCTGCTTGCTTCACTCTTAATAAGACGGTAAAAGGGCATATGGGGGAGACAGAAAAAGCAGAACGTAATAAGAGCAGGACACTTGTCAACTTTTAACGATGACTTTAAGGGACATGTGTCAACATTTAAAGACCACACATTTCTTCATATATAGATAAAAGAGAAAATAGATATCACATTAATATGGATAAATGAAATTAAATTTAAAAGATAATGTAAATTAAATTAAATTATTAAAATATAAATTTATAATAAATTAAAATATAATAACTAAATTATATAAAACTAAATGAAAAAATAATTAAAATAACTTATTATATTAAACAAACACAAAATAATTAAAATAAAATTCTAAATAAATATAAAAATTACAGTTATATTATAATAATATTTATCGTATTTATTTTATATATTTTTATATTTTATTATTTATTTTAATTTATATTATTCCATATTATTTTGTTGCATTATTCATTTTATTTTATCTTAGTTAACGAGCTTTATTTATTTTGTTTAACTTAAGACAATGAAATTAAAATAAATTTTATTAAATAAAATTTATAAATTAAAATTATTTACTAAAAAATTATAATTTATTTCAATTTTTTTTTTCATATTGTATGTAAGAGTAAATCATATTAAAATTATTTGATAAATAATATTTTTTATTTAATTATATTAATTTAGTATTTTTATTTATTTAATTTATTATTTCATAATAAGTTATTTTATTTATTATTTATTTTATTTTATCATTTTTATACTATATTATCTTATATAATTATTATTTTTATTTTACTTTAATTAGTTTATTTAATTTTATTTATCTTTTAATTTAATTTATCTATTATTTTTTCATTTAAAATTTATATAATTAATTTATTTTAATAATTAAGTGTAAATTTATTTTATTTTAATTGACGCTACTATCTTAAACTTTATCTTACTTTATTTTTATTTAACTTTTTTATTATTTTAGATTAATTTAATTTATTAGAAGTTACTATTATTATTATCAATTATTTAATTTATAATAAATTGGCCTATTATACTGTTATTTTATTTTATTTGCTTTATTTGAAAATATTTAATTCATTTCCGTATGATGTATAAATATATTTATGTTCAATAGATTACACATCCATCTATATAGGCCAATGGTTGAGTGGGTGTGCCCTCTCTTCCCAACCCAGTATCCAATCTTGCTTCCCACATTTTATACAATTTTAGATTTTGCAATAACATTCAAGAGGGTAAAAAGATAAATTATTAATTATGTAAAATAAAAAAATTGAACAAATCTCGCAGCTAGAGAATGTGTCATACAGGCGCGGTTAACTTAGACGGAATGGAGAATCGTGCATCGGTTACTTAAACATGAGGTAGTCTGGTGCATTTTTTAAAACANCATAAATGCAAATATATGATAAGTCAGAGTGAATTAATCTAGTGGTAAAAAATTTAGTGGCTACATTGCAGTAATCGATATGTTGAAATGTTTTGTTTGTACTTAATCCTCAGTTACGAATAAAAGACGTTTAAACAAATAACTTATATGTTGTCTAATATTTTTTCTATAAAATCTTCATAAATCATACATTAATACATTGATTGATTAATAGTTATTCTTTTTTTTTTTTCTATACTTGTAATATTTTTTGTATTTGTTATACTTTCATCATTATCCTTTCTTTCTTTAAAACTATAGTTGGAATAATGGTCTAAAATAATAACTAATTATAAACAAAAAAATTTAACCGAAAAGACACTTCGGGTGTTTTTGGTTCGATTTTGATTAATCGATTTTTTTTTTTTTACAATTTTTAACATAAAATTCAATTCAACTTTATCTAACTTAACTCTCATCAATATTATCAATATAATTAAATAATACAACAATCATGCACACACATCATATCAATTTTAATTCACTGTTCATCAACTCGTATATTTTTAACTGCACATCACTTTTAATCATTTATCTTCTACTTTTATATCACAATAACTTTAATCATTGCGTTATAAATATCTTTAAATTAAATACAAACTCAAAAACTCCCCCAATTTTTCACTAAATCAACTTTATTTAAAATAACTAACTTTAACCTATAAATCAAATCAATACCAAATTCTTTTTATATCCAATAAACCCCTAAATACCTCATTTCTTTTATATATAAATCGAAAAGAATTTTTTTTTTTTTATAAAACAATTTGAACTTAAAGTGCACACAATTTCATCTCAGCATTATGTAGTCAAAAGTCAAAACCATCACCCCACAACCAAATCTCAACAAAACCCTTCTCACTCTCTTCATCTCTCTAAAAACGTACTACGAAAAAGAGAGCTCCACTTCCTATCTCTCTCTAAAAAGTAAAAACTATCTTTATTTTTATTTTTTCTTTCAAAAAAACATATACATACATCGATACGTACACAAATATAACAAAAGCACACGTAGCCCCAAATTCATCTGAATTTGATTTCCTTTTACTCGATTTCGGAATCCCTAATCTAGCAGAAAGTTCAGTTTTTTTTGTACTCAAATCGGCAAACCAATTCCCTTATTTAATTCCCTTTGTCTACCCAATCTTCTTTCTTTCCGCAATTCCTTGATTTGAGTTCGCCTGCGAAAAACCCTAGCCTTTGTTGTTCATTTGAAACCTTAGTTTTGAAAATATTGAACCTCCCCGAAACCTCGCATCTCAACTCATTGTCTGTTACGTTCGGTTAATTTTGTAGGGTTCCTAATCTTGATTGATCAGGTATTTTTTATTTATTCTTTTCAATTGTTGCACTGTTGGGGATGGCCAGAATCTCTTCTACTGATTGTTTGTTTTAATTTTATATGGTGAAAGTCGAAACAATTGGTGGGCTTTTCTGCATTTCTGCTAAGTTTAGATGGGAGTTGGTTAAGTGGAAAAGTTAATGGTGCCCGTGCTTTTTGTTTGATTAGGCGTTTTAAGTAACTGCAGGAAAGTTGTTGAACTTTTGATGGTGTGTTAGAGTGAATCTTGAGTTTTTGTGTTTTAGGATTTTGTCGTTTGGAAAATTCGGATGATCGTGTGTGCCATTTAAAGTAACCATTGTTCCTGGTTTCTTTGACAGCCGGTGAATGTTAATAGAATTGCATGCATTGGATTTATGTGATCAGATCACGTATAAATATGCTCGTGCCTGTCGGCTAGCGAAATGAATTATTTTCTTTTTAAGATATTTAAGTTCAAACTGGGCTGGACAGTAATAAATTGAATTTGTAAAGAGAAAGAATTGTCAGGTTCGATATCGTGTCCATCCAATCAATTTCAAAGCCCTAGGTGGAACTTTACAATGGGGCCTATACTGTAAACAAAATTCAATGTGAACCATTGTAAAATTTTTTGAAACCATTAACATTTCATTTTAAATTTGTTTTTTCTAGCATTTTGGATGAAACATCACTAACTACACTTTTCGCATAAACTTCTTCTAACCTATCTTGTTTGATTTGACAATAGTACAATTCTCTAATCCGTTCATTATATCTCCCCACATAGGTGACCGATGGTAACTTTTTACTTATTTCATACGTGTAAAGTATAGCGAAATTAATTTGTATGCTATCAACACATTCTATATGCTGAAAAATGTCGTGAAAACTAAGCCATAAAATCTTGAACCTTCAAATATTTGGGCCTCCCTAAGGCATTACTTATAGCGCTTATGGGCCACTTATTGTTATCATTTGCATGAAATTCTTGCACATAATTGCAGAAATATAATTATTTTGATCATGTATTTTAGCTGTA